ATCATTTGCCAGTTTTCATCATCCATGACCATCATTACAGGAGCACAAAAATAGATAAGCAAATAGAATAAAGGAGACTGAGGTCAGAAGAAACAATGAACACATTCAAGAATGAATTACTAGCACAGAATTGGGAGGAAGTGTATCGAGAAAATAATGTGGAAAATGCATATGAAAGATTTCTAAGTGTATTTAAGCAATTATATGATAAAAACTGTCCAATTCAAGAATATGAAAGAACACTGAAATATAGCAACTGTCCATGGATCACAAAGGGATTGCAAAATGCCTGCAAAAAGAAAAATACACTATACAGAGAATTTATAAGATTGAGAACTAAAGAGGCTGAAATTGAATATAAAATATATAAAAATAAGCCAACTCATATTTTAAGGAGAGGCAAGAAAGATTATTATTGTAGAATATTAAATGATAGCAAAAATAATATCAAAGGAATATGGGGAATACTAAACAGTATCATAAGAAACTTTTCCAGAGTATTTTATTGACAAGGAAAATGTAACTTATAATAGGAGTGTTGTGGCTGCATACTTTAATTCATTCTTTGTAAATGTAGGGCCAAACCTTGCAGAAAAAATCTCTGATCCTGGGGCAGTTGGAAAAAATATGGATACTTTGATAGCGAGAAATCCCAACTCAATGTTTCTCAAAGGATGAGCAAGAAATACTGAACATAGTTAAAAACTGTAAAAGCAAAAAGTCAACTGATTGTAATGACATTAATATGACAGTAGTGAAAAAGGTCATTGAGGGGATTTCAAAACCATTGACATACATCTGTAATTTATCATTTCAAAATGGTACATTTCCAAACAAAAAGAAAATTACCAAAGTCATTCCGCTGCACAAAACTGGGAACAAACATCACTTCACCAACTACAGACCTATCTCCTTATTACCACAATTTTCCAAAATATTAGCAAAACACTTCAACAATAGACTGGATACATTCATAGTAAAACATAAATTACTCTCCGACAGACAATATGGTTGCAGATCAAATAGGTCAACATCACTAGCAATTATAGAAGCAACTGAGGAAATCACAAATGCTATTGAGCAAAAGAAATATGCTTTTGGAATATTTATTGATATTAAGAAAGCCATATTATTAAGAAAACTGGAAAGACTCAGTATCAGAGGTATTGTATTAGACTGGATCAAAAGTTATTTACAGAGGAGAAAACAGTTTGTAAAGCTCGGTGATTGTTCTCAATGTTTGGACATTGTTTGTTGTGTCCCCCAGGGGTCAGTATTGGGCCCTAAACTCTTAAATAAAGTGATTGATTGATTGATTGATTGATTGATTGATTGATTGATTGATTGATTGATTGATTGATTGATTGATTGATTGATTGATTGATTGATTGATTGATTGATTGATGTGGTTAGTGGTTCTGTGTTGTGGTGTGAATCCAATCTGGCTCTTGCTCAGGACGATGCTGCAGAATCCCTAGGTTGCTGCTGACGCATATGTCTCTGTAGTTGTTAGGCCCATACTTGTCTCCACTTTTGTGGATTGGAGTGATTACTCTTGGCTCCAGGTGTTTGGAAAATGTCCAATGATCAGAATAAGATTGAATAATTTCAATATGGCAGTCCTGATTTTATAGCTGCTAAACTGAAGCATTTCATTTAGGATGTGATCTGGTCCACTTGCCTTCTTTGGCTGCAGAGCCTGGATCTTGGTCAGCAGCTCCTCTTCACTAATTTCACAATCTAAAGGGTTTTGATTGTCTTTAACAACTAATTCAAGGGCTTCTAATTTGTTTAGCAGAATATTTGGGCTGAATCCAGAGGGATTGCACTGCACAGATTTTCAAAGTGCTTTTTCCAAATGTCACCAGTTTGAATAGCCAGTTCTTCTTTGTTAGATTTCTTATATGAAAGTCATTTTTTTCTAAAAATTGTTGGAGTCAATTGACTCTTCAGTTTCTTCAAGAAGGAACTGTTCATGTTGTTTCCTATCAGTGCTTAGTGTTTTTCTGTATAATTTCAGTGATTCCCAGTATCGAAGTTGGAGCTCAGGGTTATCAGGTTGCCGGTGTTTTTCATTGGATAATTTACGGGGTGTTTTTCTCAGAGATCTGCAGTCAGAATCAAACCACTTTTCATCAGTAGATTTGTTTGAACTATGACACTTAGATTTGTTTAGATTGGATAGAGATGCAGTTTGGTCAAATATATCCTTACCACCCCCAACAGCCTGATTGAGGCCGTCATTACTGTGGGGATATGAGGTGGAGAGAAAATGCTCTAACTTGGTTTGGATAGTTGGATGCCTGATTGCTCTCTGACAGTCATCTTTGCTATGACTTGTCCACCTGTAAGGCTGTTTGGAGCGGTTGAGCCTACTGGGCTGTGCTACATGGGGGTCTGTTGGGGTCCTCCTAATGTACAGGGTGGTTTTGCTGTGATCTGATAGGGTTGCTAGGGGGCTGGCAGTGAATGTCCTAAGATAAAAGGGGTCTAGGTCTGTAATACTATAGTCTACTGTGCTGTTGTCAAAAGGAGAGCTGTGTGTGTAGTGACTGCAGGAATCCCCTCGAAGCTGACTGTTGACTATGTACAGTATCAGTGTATCATTCGTTCATTCCATATCCGTTTTAGAATCCGAAATCGGAAAACGGATAACGGATAACGACTTGTTATTTCATTTCTCGTTTTCAAATCAAAAATCGCAAAAACAAATAACGGCCTATTTTTCGCTGTTTTGATTTTGTTTTGAAATTAAAAATAGAATATGAGAGAATGGAATTATCATGGGATTTGTGTTCTATTCGTTTTTGGTTTGTATCATTTTCGATGTGCTGTGACCCGGGAGTTGTTGACTTTTTTTTTCTCAGGAAGGTCAGTCAGTCTCTACCGGGTGATTCCATTGATGGGTGAATCCATAGGTATAGGCTGTATTGGCTGAGTGAAATCGTGTTGGTTCGTTCCACTTCAGTGGGGCAACATAAACTGTGATTCATAAAATAGCTCTATTGATAGTAAGTTCTAAAAAAAAATATCTACTCATGCCATCCTGTCGATTTTTAGTAATCAGTGTTTCGGTATCGAACTATTTCCTTTCTGCAGCATAGTGATACTTGCACACGCGCAATCGAATATGCAGATGGGTGAAGCGATTTTTGTCACGTGGACCAATAGGAGCCGAGTCTCGTTGCCATAGTATTAGAAATACACAAACATGGCGACAGGCGCGTCGAGTAGCGAGACAAGCGAAGAGGAAGAAAAGAACAGGAAAAAAGAAATCAGCATTCAAAAGTGCATAAAAAAGGAATGAAACGATGCTATATGCATCTATCATCTGTCCAGAGTGAAGACCTTCTCAACTTTACAAGGACACGTTGGAAAACTTACAGAACTAGTATTGAAAGTGGCTTTCTCTACAGGGTGAGACAAAGGACCTTGCAGAAACTTAAAAACATTGCGTTGATATCAACTTTGACAATGTTCCTGATGACGCTAGGTTTCACATGACATGCTACCAGCGATTTATTTGCAAAAGGCATTTTAGAAACAAGAACGTGATGCAGCCGTTGGTCAGTCAAACACTTCAGCCAGCATCGCCAAAGCATCCACGTCCACGGCATCTGAAATTCAGCGAAAGAAACTTCGCTTGAGGTCATATGCTGTATTGGGACAAAGGAAAAAGTGCCTAAAAAGTGAATTTCTATCGTGTACAGATTTATGTTGGTGCCAAGCATGTGAGAATGCTTCAAAGGAAACAGAAGAAAGAGCTGTATGGGATGATGACTCTTATGAAAGTGATAGTGATGCGTAATATACGCATCACGTCACCATGTACAATTTGTTTTGTTTAAAGGATTTGAGATTTTTATTATTTTTATATTTGTTCTACATTTGTCTGTGTTTGTGTTTTGATCTTTATTTTCATATTCTGGAGGGATTGATAAATGTCAGATGTTTTGACACTGTGATACTTGAATAAATGTTTTATACCATATTTTGAATTAATTCAGCCTTTTTGTGCATTTATTTTTGTCATTATTCAAATTTTGGGGGGCGTGGTAGCAATTTAATTGACTTTCAGCCATCTATGGCCATGATGTGCTGTTTATGTTTTATTGCTTTTATCACACAGTAGGTTGTGTCAATTTTTATGTATGAAACATAAGCTTTTAGCTAAATTTACTGTATATATTTCATTGTGCTGGGTGCAAATCACTTGAGTTGAGATGTTTTCTTCAGAAAGAAATTTGCTACATTTCATAATCTGAATTCACTTATGCGTATACTAAGGCACCAATAACTGTTTCAGATGTTAGGTAGATGTATTTATGACATTTGAGAAAGATTTTGTCTGGTAGCATGTCATGTGAAACCCAGCGTCATCAGGAACATTGTCAAAGTCGATATCAATGCAATGTTTATAAGTTTCTGCAAGGTCCTTTGTCTCACCCTGTAGAAAAAGCCACTTTCTAATACTAGTTCTGTAAGTTTCCCAACGTGTCCTTGTAAAGTCGAGAAGGTCTTCACTCTGGACAGATGATAGATGCATATAGCATCGTTTTGTTCCTTTTTTATGCACTTTTGAATGCTGATTTCTTTTGTTCCTCTTCCATTCTCTCATATTCTGTTATTTGTTTTCCGATTTTTGATTTGAAAACGAGAAATGAAATAACAAGCCGTTATCCGTTTTCCAATTTTGGATTCTAAAACTGATATGGAATGAATGATACACTGATAGTACAGACCCAGTGTGCGGACACATCTGCAGCAGTTGATGCCCATTTCTGTTCACAGTTTTGTCAAAGTTATTTCTGTGCAGATGTGGAGGAGAAGGGGTGCTGATCTGACCAGGTATGTGTTTGTCTCCCTGTGCATTAATTGAATCAGGATCAGTGTCTGTTCAGGCATTAAGGTCACCACGTTTTCCACATGTTTCCCTGTGTCTGGTAACAGCTGATCTTGTCTTCCAGAATGGGGGACTCTGATGGGGACCAGCAGCTTCCATGGGTGCTGAGCAGCCGGATGCCCCCCTACCAGGCCTGCAAATCAGCAGCGTTTCAGCATCAGAAACAGCGGCAGCCTCTCCAGCAGGTGGGCACCTACAGCGTGCTGCTGAGCAGCTGGATGCCTCCCTACCAGGGCTTCAAATCGGCGGCATTTCAGCTGCAATGATAATAACAGTGGCAGAAACAGAGATAACAACGGCAACGGCCTCTGCAGTGGGTGGGCGCCCGCAGCCAAATGCTGAGCAGCTAGATGCCCCCATTCAGCAACTGGTGCCCAGCAACAGCAAGTTACCAAGCCGGACATCAAATGACACAATCAAAGCAGTGGTGGGTGAGTTAAAAACTGCAGTTCACCCCAAAAACCCAGTTTTTTAGAGGAAACAGTTCATTAAATTAAGTATAACACTCAACCAAGCTAAAGTGATCTGGGACCCACAATATAAACCAAGGGGTCTGTTTGGCAGGCATTTAAATATTCAGAGCATTCTGCCCAAATGTGATCAAGTCCATCACCTATTAGAAAACTCGAACCTGGACTTATATTTGTCTGAGACTTGGCTAAATACGAATTCCCCTAATGCAGGACTGCAAATACCAGGCTATAACATTTTTAGGAAAGACAGAGTGGGATAATGTTACATGTAAAGAATAGTTTAAAATATAATCTGTTAGAGTGTACTTGTAAACATTATCTTGAATGAATTGCTCTTAAGATCGATCTTAAGGAATGTCATTTTAAAAATGAGGTGATCCTATTTGGAGATTGAAGTATAAACTGGCTGGATAAAACAAACAGGAGATGATTAAAATCATTTCTAGATCAATTCAGCTTTTCTCAACTTATTGAAGGGCCTACCAGATTAACTGCTCTATCTGAAATCTGTATAGACCTTCTTTTTACAAATAAGCCTGAGCAGATTTAGAAGTCCTTCAATTTTGTTACTGGTCTATCAGACCATAACTTAATCTTATTTTCAAGAAAACTGTCTAAAAACAGATTCAGGTGCCCCTCGGCAAGACCTGAGCGAATGAGAAAATCAAGGATGAAGATCCCAAATTTAACACAAGCTCTAGCTAACATTAAATGGGCTGATCAGCTCATCCATGAACATGTCAGTGATAATCGTAATGCTTTTATGACTGTGATTCAGGAAACAATGCCTGCATTCATTAAAAAAAAACTAACGGTAAACCATCAAAAAAGAATCACCTTCCTTGGTTAAATCAAACTTTATGGTCACTCATGAAACATAGAGACCATGCTCTGAAAGTATGGCCAAAACTAAAAGGGTAAATGATAGACAGATTTTCACGTTTAAGAAATATATGTGCAAAGGCAAAAATTTTTATTAACATGATAAGCAATGCTAGAGGAAATACCAAAGAAATCTGGACTAGCCTTAAAAAAATGTCCGGAAATTATGCTGTCAACAAAGCAATTAAGGAGCTGCGGTTAGACGGAAAAATAATCAATAACTCGAAAGGCATTGCAACAGCCCTGAACAATTACTTTGAAGATTCTGTAAAGGAGTTGGCACAGGGCTCCAACCCTCAGATGTCTTTTTTTGCCTATGCCACTGAGCAATGTTGCACCTGTTTTTAGCTTGTTTACTGTGTCTCAATCCCAGGTGGACAAGGTGATCTGTGGTCTCAAAAGCTCAAAGGCCAAAGATGCTTTTGGTATGTATGTATTGTTCCTGGAAAAACCATAAGAACTCTCTTATATCACCGCTAACCAGAATCTTAACTCCTCTGTAAGTGAGGGAGTTCTCTCAGAACCCCGGAAGCATTTAATCATTACACCCATCCTTAAATCAGGTAATCCTAAAGTAATCAATAATTACAGACCTATAAGCACTCTTCCCACAGTATCTAAGATAATGGGAAAACTAGTTGCAGAACAAATCATCAGTCATTTGAATAACAGTCCTAAACCAGATGCAATTTGGTTGCAGAAAACATCACTCAACTGAAACAGCCATCTGCTGCCTCCTTGAAAACATCAAATCAAAGTTGGATGCAGGTGGCATTATTGGTGCTGTTTTTATTGATCTTTGTAAAGCAGTTAACACTGTTGATCACCAAATGCTAATTACCAAACTGACTCAATTTAATTTCTCTGTGAACGCACTGCACTGGATTGAATCATACATTTCTTCAAGGACTCAGTGTGTTAAGGCGGAGGATATGTTATCTTTACCCCGTGACAACAGTTTTGGGGTTCCACAGGGATCAGTTTTGGGACCACTACTTTTCAGTCTGTTTATAAATGACCTCCCAAGTTGTTGTCCATGTCATGTAACCCGACAAATGTATGCTGATGTCGCAGTTCTGTATGCTCATGCAAAACACAAAAATCAAGCTGCTGTAGAACTGACTGATGCCATAACCAAAGTGTATCACTGGCTTAAGAGTTCACATCTACACCTGAATATTTCTAAAACTGTCTGTTTGTACTTTTCAAAAACAGTAAGTATTGACAATAATCCTGATGTATTTGTAGAAGGTCAAAAAATCAAGGTAGTTCAAGAATTGAAATATCTGGGAATCGTTCTAGATGCACAACTTTGCTTTAAGCAGCAATTAAAAAGGATCGTGCACAGAATGAGATCTAATTTATCTGATTTCAGATTCATTATAAATAACTTGACTCCAGATTCAGCTAAGCTATACCTCGATGCAATGATTATGCCACACATGCTTTATTGCATAACTAGCTGGGCAACAGCCTGTAAGACAGCTCTGAAGCCAATTGAAACGGTCTATAAAAAGGCCCTAAAAGTTCTTGATAGAAAACCTAATATGTACCATCACTGTCTGATACTGAAGAAACTTGAGCGACTAAATTTTGACAACATAATAAAATATGCTGACTCTGTATTGATCTACAAAATTAGTCATAGTCAAGCTCCACCTCCACTTCATGAGTTTATTTAAAAAAATCCAACCAGATCAACCAGAGCAAGCTCTAGTGTTGACTGTGTTGTGCCGCTCAGGAAAAGTGCTTTTGGTCAAGCTGTATTCTCCTTTCGTGCATCGCAATCCTGAAACCAAATACCTAGCACTATATGTGAACTCCCAACCCTCACTTCTTTTACTTAATATCTTAAGTTATGGTTGTTGGAAAACCAGACCTGCCATCAAAATCATGTCTAAAATGGTTTGTCATGTCTAATTGGCTAATTGCTTTGGGGTACCACTCTTAATTTGTTGTGGCGTACATATTCTCATTCATGTAGGCAAATTTGTTACTAAAGGGTATACATAATACACTTATGTATACAAACCATGTGCAATTTTAGACACACATCTGCTAGTGCAATTGTGTGCTATGGGCATTGTGCAATTCAATTAAATCTTCACTGTACCACGCGTCGTGTAATTCAATGTAATTTCGCACTTATGCAGTCCTCACTTACACAAGCTGTACTGTAGCAAATGGCGCTTAAGCCCCCAGACTCTACTTCCTGAGGAAGCTGAGATCCTTCAACGTGTGCAGCAAGATGTTGGAGATGTTCTACCAGTCTGTGGTGGCCAGCATACGTTTCCTACTGTGCGGCCCACATGGTGATGACATTGACACCATGACAGATTGTATCACGGACTATATAAACTTCTGTGTTGAGAACACCGTACCCACCAGGAAAGTACGGTGTTTCTCCAACAGCAAACCTTGGGTGACCCCTGAACTTAAAGTCCTCCTGAAGGAGAAGAGGAGGGTCTTTAAATGACTCATCAAACCAATGACCCGTCTGCTTCTTCTTTACACCACCTCAGTTCTCTGGCACCAGCATCATCACCCCCCTCCACTCATCCTCCACCAACCCCTCCAGCCACCACCAGCCTCTCCATAACAGCTGACCAGGTGAGAAGTGAGCTGAGGAAGATGAAGCCAAGGAAAGCCACGGGTCCTGACGGCATCAGCTCCAGACTCCTGAAGCACTGTGCAGACCAGCTCTGAGGTGCTACTGCACATCTTCAGCTTGAGCCTGAGTCTGGAGAGGGTCCCAGCTCTGTGGAAGACTTCCTGCGTGATTTCTATCCCCAAGACAGTACACCCCAGGGAGCCCAACCACTTCAGACCCGTGGCCCTCACTTCTCACCTGATGAAGACTCTGGAGAGGATCGTGCTGAGAAACTTCCGCCTCCTGGTGAGCTCTCATCTGGATCCTCTGCAGTTTGCGTACCAGCCGAACATCGGGGTGGACAACGCAGTCATCTACCTGCTGCAGAGGTCCATGGCTCGCCTGGAGAACACCGGCAGCACTGTGAGGGTCATGTTTTTTGACTTCTCCTGTGCTTTCAACACCATCCAGCCTTCACTGCTCAGGGGGAAGTTTGAGAGGGCGGGAGTGGACTGTCACCTAGCTGCATGGACCGCGGACTACCTCACCGACAGACCACAGTTTGTGAGGCTTCAGAACTGTGTGTCGGACATGGTGGTCTGCAGCATGGGGGCTCCACAGGGGACAGTGCTCTCTCCCTTCCTCTTCACCCTGTACACCTCGGACTTCAGCTACAACTCTGGGAGCTGTCACCTCCAGAAGTTCTCTGATGACACAACCATCGTCGGATGTGTATCGTCAGAGGATGAGCGGGAATACAGGACTGTCATCACTGACTCTGTCAACTGGTGTGGCACAAACCACCTCAAGCTCAATGCCAGTAAGACAAAGGAGATGGTCGTGGATTTCCGCAGGAGGAGGACACCTCAGACTGTTCCAGTGAACATCCAGGGTCTGGACATTGAGATGGTGGAGTCCTACAGATTCCTGGGTGTCCACCTCAACAATAAACTGGACTGGTCAACCAACACAGACGTCCTGTACAAGAAGGGCCAAACTGGAAAGAGGCTGTGGTGATACCAATAAGCAAACCAGGAAAAGACAAGACAAAACCAGAAGTTACAGACCAATCGCACCAACATCAAATGTATGTAAAATGATGGAAAAAATGTTCAATACAAGATTAACATATTATATGGAAAAGAATGGATATATTTCAGTAATACAAAGTGGATTCAGAAGAGGCAGAAATACAATGGACCCAGCACTATGTCTAGAACATGAAATAAAGAAAGTTCAGGTCAATGAAGAAAGTGTAGTAGCAGTAGTTTTTGACATTGAAAAGGCATATGATATGCTATGGAAGGTGGGATTATTAATTAAATTAGCAAAATTGGGGATTAAAGGCCAAATGTATAGTTAGATTAAGAACTTTTTAGATGGAAGGAAGATTCAGGTCAGAATAGGTAAACACTGTTCAAGAAATTTTGGTATAGAAAATGGAACACACCAAGGGAGCATCATGAGTCCTATGCTATTTTCAATTATGATAAATAATGTTTTTAGTAGCCTAGAAAAAGGAATGGGTTG